ATCAGAGCATACAGACCATCCCCCAGCACAGCCAAGTGCAGACCATCTCAAACACCTGCACTCAGGCCCATGGTCCTAATCATCCTCTATACGGACCTGCTGAGCAACACCACAAAGAACCTGAGAATGGGCTCCCACAGGACCTACAGAACATCCCACAGCAGTTACTGCACTGAATAAACCGACACTGAAGATTATGCTTATATTGTTTTAATATTTGTATTTGAATTGAAAAAATATTACCTTTTATATTTGTTTTATACATAGCAAATTAATATGAAGTCAATCAAGTAAATTGATTTCCATTTTGAATATACAGATATAGATATACAGATATAGATAGGTAGATAGATAGATAGATGATAGATGATAGATAGATAGATAGATAGATAGATAGATAGATAGATAGATAGATAGAAAGATCTCTCAAACAAACTAAACACCCAAGAATACTGCAATAGAAGAAGGCTAAGTGGCAAAGTATTTGTAACATCTGTAGGTTGCCTTATCAATTCTGAACACATCACTTTTAAACTGAACAGTTCAATATAACACTTACTGCACCTCTGTGTGATGACAAGAAAATTGTCAGAAAACAGTACATAAATTTGGGCATCTCTATATTTAAATATTATAATTTTTATATACCTTAAAAACTCTTTAAAATATTATTACATTTTTTCTTCTTAAGGTAGATGAGTTAAAATATGTGACTGGGAGATGAAGATTTCAATCTAAATTATACTTTTTTTCTACTTCTGTTCTAATATATTTTGAGTGGTTTGTTTTTGTAAATTAGGTGTTAATGAAATAAAAATATTACAATCATAATTACAATAGACTATAGATTCCACTTATTCTTTAAGATGTATTTTAGTGAGAGCATATGTACCCCCTATCCACAAAATTATGACTTCATATTCTTAGCTGGTAAGTTTGAAGTAAATACTTAAAATCCTTCAAGGGGAGGATTACTAAGAATTGCCTTTTTAAATACAAAGAGTCTTCTGTTATTTCTTTGTTTTTACTTTATTTCTGAACAATGGGTCAGCTGCACAATGTAGAAAAAGCACACTATTTTTTATACCTTTATGAATGTATTAAAACAAGTCCCAAGTAGTGGAGGCAGATCACAGTGCTGACCGGTATCAGTTATCATAAAGTTATCAATCTTCCTAATCTCCTAATCACACTTCTTGAGCTGTTTTAGTTCAGCGAATTCAACTTTTGTTGATTACAGGATGTCGGAATTATACTTTTAGTCATACAAAAGCTTGAAATGGATGTTTATGTAAGGTATCATTGTATCAAAGTGATAAGGAAACCTGCAGTGTTTCCACTGTTAAAACAGTGTTTCGGTATACACAGCTTGGCATTATTCTTAAAATTCTAACATAGATACGTTATTGATAAACAAAATGTTAAAGATGATACAATACTTTATAAAACATATTATGGAATTTGTTCTCAAATGCACTTAGTTAAAAATTTACTTTCTGTATCAACAAAAGATGCTTAGTAGATTTTATAACAAAGTAGCCCTCTAAAACCTTGATGTTTTTAATTGAAGGGTGTTGGTTTAAAATGAAATTTGGAAAGCTCAAAAAACAGTTTATATTTGATAAATTATTATACCAAATTCATAAACAATTTATTTTGCCAATCATTGTTATAACCAAATTACAATGTAAAATACTAAAGTTCAGTTGGCTACACCAGTATAATTCTGGATTACTAAGGATTAGGAATAAGCTTTCTGAACTTCATTCCATATTGTGGGTGTGTGCAGTTTTATAGAGTAAAATGACCCATTCAATTAAAGTAAGTGAAACTCAAATATGCTAATGATATACTCACTGAGACAAACTGGTAAATAATCTTCTTCATGATTCAGGAATTACTCAGCAAGAACGTTTCTCTAGTGAATAATAACTTCCTAAGTACATCTAATTTCACTCTCAGACTTGTCATTACTTTCTATATCCTTATTTATGTCCTCTGTAGTTTTATATAACTGTTTTATTTTTAAAATAAGACAAATATGAATTAACCTTGTGAATAGTAGGTCTTCAGCTAACTCCTTATGAGGTGTTGACACTTTCTCAAACTGTTCTTTATTTTATTGAAAATAGAGGGTTTTTTTATACAGTGTATTCTGATAACTGTTTTCTTTCTTTTCTGCAACTTCTGCCAGTCCCTCTCCACCTACCCTACCATCTGGACCCACACACTTTCCATCTCTGTTATAGAGGGAAAAAGGCAGCTAGGAAATAATAATAAAGTAAGATAACTTAAAAGAATACAGAATAACAAAAAATAAATACAGAAGAAGAAAAAGAGACTAAGAAAAAGCATGAGAAACATGGATTCAGGGACCCATATGTTCCCACATTTAGATTATCCCCACCTTCACCAAAAATAAATAATAAACACAAAACTGGAGGCCATAATATATATGCAAAGGACCAGTAATGGTAAAATAAA